TGTAGGGCTGGCACTAGAAGCTTTCTTGGGGCCCATGGTCACTTATTTTCCAGATAAAATCACCAAAAACACTGTAATAATACGAAATGTTACGTTTGTATGCTTGGATGCTACCGCGGAGGCTGGCTGGTAAACAATGCCACCGGCGGAACATGTGAGGCTGGCTAAGGTGCACATTGGACGCGTCTCGGACGAACAGCGGTGAGCGGGTTTTTGAGCGGTATGCGAGGCAAAATTTTTGCGATTAAAGTGAGCGGTATGCGGAATAAACGGTATGTGATGCCAACGGTATGCGGCGGTCCACTGTATATGTTCTTACCACTAGTGCCCCAAACGTACATATATGTTTTATTTTTCCTGCCTCCAAATTTGACACGATTGGCCTGAGATGCCTGGTCAGCATAGAATGGGTCTTAAAACTCAGTGTGCACCATATTAAAAAATCTGGTACTGCTTAGTACCTTGTGGGAGAACCAGTTAAATTGAGCGGCAGCTTGAGCAAACAGTGCGGCAAACACCAAGGAGTCACTGATGTAATGTCATATTAACACTCCCCCTTTCACCCTTTGAGGGTCGACAGGCCCTCTCCGAAACTCGTTCTCAGGGTCGGCCAAATTTCAAAAAAAAAAAAAATTATTTTTTCTTATGAAAAAATAGAGTTTTTTTTTCTAAACATTATAGGATAAACAAAAAAATTTTACCATCAATACTTACGGAGATATGGATGCATGAAGTTTGCAGAAAATGAGCCGCGTATGGCAACAGCGGCGACTGCCACTCACCCGGTAAACTTTGATTTACTTGTATTTGAAGGTTTGTTGTTTTTTTCACTATTTTATTTTTTCACATAACTTATGTGGCCTATGAGACCAAAGTAAGGTGCAATGTACATATATACACTCGTTGTATACAACACAATAAGCACACAAACATAATTATCAATATATTGTTTACAAAACTTGTTTACAAAAACAAACAATACAAAACATTGTTTATTATTATTGTTCTATAATATATATACCAATATACAGTCACTGAACATATTCCTATTAGTTCTGCAGCTTGTGGAACTCTGAAACATGGTGTCATACACAATGGTGTTTTATCTTTCTCCCTCATTCTATCTCTTTCAATCTGTCTCTCTCTTGCTATCTGTCTGTCTATCTCTGTCTCACAGGTACACATAAATACAAGTATACATAGTATAAATTACCTAGGATAACCCAAGAAACCCAGACAAAGTGCTATACTCTGCTTGAAGATGTGAGTAAAAGTGATGATGCAGTCTTGTGGCTCTCTGAGACAGAGAGCTAGATGGATAGACAGGGAGCTTGACAGACAGGCAAATAGACAGACAGAAATGTTAGTATACCAGCAAAAACAAAGGGAGGGCGATGTTCATCTCATCTTTTGGCATCAGCTCTACCCTCATTTACCCTCATCAAACGTCAGCACTTATCAGATGTTATCTCCCCTTATCTTGTTACTGTCATGGGTGAACATTTATTATTACATATTATTATTATTACCTATTATTATTATGTATTATTATTATTATGTATTATTATTATTATGTATTATTATTATGTATTATTGTTATCATTACGTATTCTTCTTCTCTCCTCCTCCTCCTCCTCCTCCTCCTCCTCTTCTTCCTCCTCCTCCTCCTCTTCTTCTTCCTCCTCCTCCTCCTCTGCCTCCTCCTCCTCTTGCCTCCTCCTCCTCTTGCCTCCTCCTCCTCTTGCCTCCTCCTCCTCTGCCTCCTCCTCCTCTGCCTCCTCCTCCTCCTCCATTCTTGGAACAAGTTTGAAGAGCTTGTAGTTCATAATCACTATCATTATCATCACCAATGCTCACATCTGAGTCTGGGATTTTGGAAAATAGGAGTTTCCTCTTTGATTCTGGTACAACTGAACGACGGCCCAGCACCAGAGGTGGAAGGCTGTGGGTTGTCTGGGTTTTCCTCACTATTACCCATATTATGGTCATTAGTTTCGGTCAAAACCTCACCAGAACCTTGAAACTCATCTTCACTGTCACTTCCATCTGTATTAGAACTGTCACTGGGGAACAAAAGTGTCCTCAATTCGCCGAGGAGTGAGGAACTTCTTACCGCAGGGCACGTGGAAATTGTGTACTATGATGGCATTCCCACAATGCACCACTGGGTCCCAGATTTTTTTCCTACTGCGCACACCCACCACACAGACCCATTCTCTCACATCTAGGCTTATCAGCCTTTTCCTGCGAGATTTGAGGCCGCTAGAATTTATGCGTACTAGTACGTCAAAAACCCCTACGCGTAAGACGTACTAGTACGACCAAAACCCTCAAAGGGTTAAGAGGAAAGTGATGTTAACCCCAAGTTTAGGGTCTGCCTATCTCTGTCTATTTGTCTCTGTATCTGTCTCTGTCTGTCTGTCTGTCTATCTGTCTCTGTCTATCTGTCTCTGTCTATCTGTCTCTGTCTATCTGCCTCTGTCTGTCTCTCTATCTCTTTTTATCTGTCTCACAGGTACACACAAATACAATTATACATAGTGTAAATCACCTAGGATAACCTAAAAAATCCGAAGTGCTATACTGTGCTTGTAGATATAATGCATATGAATATCTGTTGGTTCACAGTGGCTCTCTCTCAGACAGACAGACAAGCAGAGAGACAGAAAGGGACAAGCAGACAGAGACACAAGACTGAGAGACAGATAATCAGAGACAGAGATACAAGCTCATCAAATGTCACCCCTTATGTCTGCACCCTCGCTGGTGCCCATCAAATGTCATAGCTTATCTCCTCTTATCTCTGCACTCTCATATTATCTCTGTACCCTTGCTGGCACCCATTAAATGTCATCCTATATCTCATCACTGCCCTCCCGGATGCTTGTCACATTGCTTCTAGGAAGCCTCTTCCTTCTTCTTCCTCCTCCTTCCTTCTTTCTTCTTTTTCTTTTACACTCCCATGTATCCAAAACATTGCTGGAACTTGTAAATACTTTATATATATTCCTAGACAATAGTAAATGACCAAGGCATGCATTTGTGACAATTTGAGTACAATTTCAGTACCTAATATTAGTGTCAGAACAAATATTGGTTATGAAATGCCAAGAAATACAATAAATTGTAATTATTAGAACATAAAAATTATATAAAATAATATAAAAATGAGAAAAAATGGTATATCGGCAACACTTCCTCAAGCAGCAGGACTCGATGTTGCCGTCAGGTGAGCATTATGTGCCAACTTTGCAGCCTCATATCTCAGTAAGTACTGACTACACACTGTAACATTTGCAAAGAAATAAAATCTTTATCTTAACAAACAAATGCATATAAACAAAGAGGTTTGATGATATATTGTACCCTTAGTGACACTCTTTATTGCGACCCCTGAATGGGTCACAATGTATAAAATGTATAATACCTGTTCATATAATTTTATGTTGCTGATATTTGCGATATTAGCTAAATCGTAAATATGTTGCTTTATATTATTATTTGACTTAGTTATATTATTAGGTAGGATGTAACATTTACACCTTATTCAGTGCTCATTGCTCGAGAGTGTTAAGTAGCTGCCGCATTGTCTAACTATTGTAACTACCACTTCGCTTGTTTCACTGCCAGCTTCTCTGTAGTTGCTGGGCAGCAACAGTCCATGGAGAGTCACGTGATCAGGGTGGGGTGATCACACCTCACCTGGGTGAGAGGACTGCCTTGCCTTCACTAGCACTCTCTCTCTCTCTATTTGATGGTGATTCCAACAACACCTCCCTTTCCAGCTCTTCCTTGCTGGCCCTTGTTGGATCATCATCTCTGTCGCTCTCTCTTGTTGTTAGTTCTGTGTAACTCTGTTCATAGAGCATAGCCTAGACTTAGTGATTTTCGACGTTTTACTGAGGTTGTCGCACTGACACTCTGAGAAACTCAGGTCCTGAGCTGTAGCTTCTGACCTAATTTGTACAGGTATCTGTGCACTGTCACAGTCGGGGATTTTCTTATGCTGAACTTAGATTCAGTAGTATGGGAGTTTTGTGACTTTTGTGGAGGATCTGCAGATGGTCCCTACTTAGGGTCATTACGTTATCTCCTTGTTCCTGATTCTGTGTTGCTGCTGCTTGTTATATTGCTGTTCGGCAAATTGATCGTTTTACTGTTCAAGCAAGCTGTTTTGATTGCCAGGTTGGTCAAGAAGTTAGTTTATGTGAGGACTTTTAGTCAGTCACTGGTTACGTCTAATCGAGTTTTGAGACATAGTGAACTACTTAGAGCACTTACACACATACTCACTTGTATATACGTATTAGTATTATGTTCTTAAATGCTGACAATGTACCAGATGGTACTTAAAAGCCATAAAGAGATGATATGTGCCTTCAGAACAATACTACTGTACACGAGAGAAGTGTAGGAATTTGTATCCTATATTATATTAAATTGATTACCTTGATTTACTTTGACATTGTCCATCAAGACAACTTTATCTTTATTAATAAACTTCTTAAATTTTAATTTCTTTAGTTAGTAGCCTACCAGTTGTAATCCTGAAGCACTATTGAATCTTACTATTAAATTCTAATGGATAATTGGACCAGGATACTACTTGTTACAAAAACCCAGTAACAGGCTGGATGCTAGAGGGGCAGACCTTTCTAGTATTCACTGGAGATCTCTATCATTATTAGATATCGTGTTTTTTGTAACACTTTTAAACTCAAACTGTTCTCAATGGGCAAAAAACATGTTCTCACTGGAAATAGGACCTCTGTTCCAAGGTGTGCCTAAAAGCTATTTACTGTTATAAGTGGCTTAAATGCAGGACAAAACTTGTTGGCAAGAATGAAAATTATGTCAATTATGTATACATTAAAGTTATGAAGAGAAACTTTTTTTCTGTTGGGCCACCCTGTCTCAGTAGAATATGACTGGTTTGTTGAAAGAAGAAAGAAGACTTAAAAAATATAGCTAGCCAGTCCACTATAGTACTTTATACTTACTTGAAAGTGTGTGGGTCGATGTAAAAATTCCATAGAGTCCAAAGCACCAGAATTATGAATATGGTCATCCACAATGTCACTACATGGCTGGAAGAGATAATCAGCAATGAGTCTACCTGATAAAGAAAGATTGAATATTCTGAAGATCTGTTAAATGTTGCTGTTGACAGGAGATAATGATTTCATGCACTGCTCAGGGACTAATAATTCCTCATACATATGAGGAAGTGCTAGAGGTGGATGTGGAGAAAGAGTGTGAGGCAGTGGGTAGAATGATAAGGGATTAAGCAGCTGGGACAGAGGGGATCAGTCTGATATTAAACAACACATGGAAATGCAGCTTTGAAATTGATGGTGTAATTATTCAGCATATCCAAGAAAAAAAAGGGAAGGTATCTAAGGATTGGCAGAGAGCATGTATAGTTCTTCTGTAAAAAGAAAAAGGGAACAAGAGAGAATAAGAATTGTTGAGTATGCTGGGTAAAGTGTATGGCAGAATTATTATTGAAAAAAGTTAGGGGTAAGACAGAAAGTAGGACTACAGAGGAACATGGAAGATATAAGAAGGGCAGGGAATGTGTAGACCAAGTGCTGACATGAAGGGTAGGGAATGTGTAGACCAAGTGCTGACATGGAAAGACACAAGTGACCAATACTATGACGAAGGTAAGGAAGTGTTTGTTGCATGTGACTATAATGATGACACAATGTATGCACACATCAACACAGTGGTGCAGAAAGACAGTGTCCTAGGAATCATCATACATGCTGATAACACTCAATATTGGTAAGACCTATTATATAATGATCAGTAATAACCAAATATAAAGATAAATATGACAAAATATTGATAGGCAAGAAAAGGGGAGATTTTAAGGTATTCATATTGACAGCAAATTTAACAAACTTATCCAGCACATCACTAAGAAAGTTTTTAAAAGGTAGGCATCTATATTCATGGGGAAGTGGTCAGCCAGTAGGGATCATTTAGTGTCTGGGGAATGAGGCAATCAAATTTAATACAAGGAAATGGAGAATAGGTCTGGTTCATTGGATCAAGAGCCACTCATCAGCATCAAGGCACATTGATGCTGAAGAATCATCCAAACTGTCTGAATTATCATTCGGACTCTCTGAAGTATTACCCACATTGTGTACTTACCTATTAAGGTGAGCACACAGTCTGGATGATACTTCAGGTAGTTTTCATGATATTTCAGGCAAACTGGATGATACCTCAGAGAGTCCAAATGACAATTCAGTGTATTTGGATGATTCTTCAGCTTGAATGATGTGCCTTGATGCTGAGGGGCTCTTGATCCAAGAAAGTGAACCCATCCAAAATTTCCTTGTGTATTTGTGTGTGTGCTTGAACATGTACAGTAGGGCCCCACTGTACAGCATTTTGCTTGGTGGTGTTTCACTAATACAGACATTTCAAATTATGACCAAAACTTGTTATATGGCTTACCCCCCCCCCCTACCTAACTCTCTAATATGGTCACTGCGTGCCACTGTCCTTACATTCTCTGTGAGCTCCATGTCTCTCCATTATGCATGGAAACTTTCCAAAATTTCAAGTGTTTTAAAGTTATTGCATATTTTATATATACAGTGGAACCTCAGCTTACGAGTGCCCCTCCATACTCGTTTTTCAGGATATGAGCAGTTGCTCAGTCTATTTTTTGTTTCTGGATACAGGCAAAAATTCAGGATGCGAGCTTCCCCCTCAAACAGCATTTTTTTATTTTTTTTAGACCTCCAGATCTTACAAAAATAAAAGTGAATATATAAGTGTAGTTCATTGTTGTGATGTATTATGTTGTTTTTACTGCTTAAGACTATAACTGCAACAGAAATAATAGTATTTCTTACCTTAAATTGTGGGTGCTGGTGTTTGTGGATGATTGTGGAGAGTTATGTTGTGGTCCTACTGGGCTGAGGTGGATGGTAGACATACTGGTACTGAAGTTGATGGTTGTACTGGAGTGTGCATAAATTCTGTAGTGGATTTCTGTTCTATTTTACCCTGCAGTACATTATACAACTGGCAGTAAGGCATCAGCTGCTCTAGACACTGTTTCAGGGCCCTCTTCAGTGAAAAAGTCTAACTTTAAGTCATTCAGTAAGTCAGTTGGTTAAGTCATTCAGTCAAATCAGTAAGTCAGTCAAGTCAACAAGTTATTCAGTCAAGGCAGTACATCAGTCAAGTCAGAAAGTCAGTCAGTCAAGTCAGTAAGTCATTCAGTCAAGTCAGTAAGTCATTCTGTAAGTCAGTAAGTCATTCAGTCAGTTGGTCAAGTCAGTAAGTCAAGTCAGAAAGTCAGTCAAGTCAGAAAGTCAGTCAAATCAGTCAGTCAAGTCATTAGGTCAGTCAGTCAAGTCATTAAGTCATTCAGTCAAGTCAGTAAGTCATTCAGTCAGTTGGTCAAGTCAGTAAGTCAGTCAAGTCATTCCATAACAAATGAGAATGAACTATTAAGATTTCTTTGGGACACAAATCTCATAGACTTACTAATCACAATGCCCAAACAAACTCCTACGTGTTAGTGTATTTTGTTGCTCAATTATTGCACTAATTCCTCAGTACAATCCTTAATTTGTTAAGTTCAACTACCCCATCTTTTTTATTTTTTATATATTTTTCTATATTTTTTAATTGCTATTACTTGCTGAATGCTTAAGTGTATAACTGAATTATCTATTCTGTAAGTTGTAGATTCAATACACAGTAGGGCCCCACTTATATGGCGGGTTAGGTTCCAAGCTGTCGCCAGAAAGCAGACATCGCCGGAAGGCAGAACGCCATTTTTTTCCATTTATAAATGCATATAAATGCCAGACAACAAGTTTACACTAAATTATATTAAGTTAGTAATAGAACTAGGCATTAAAAACACACAAAATAAAATACATTCACAGTAAATTCATTACTTATCTTAAAGTACGTATTTGTAATCTTAATGTAGGGAGAGAGGTGAGTAGTACTTATTTGTAGGAAGTCAGTGTAGGTAGCCGGTAGGCGTAGCCCGCCTGGGCTACACCTACCGGCTACTTACACTGTGGCCCAGAGCCATATTATTAATATTGACATACCTTGTTCACTGAATTTAACCCTTAAACGGTCCAAACGTATATATACGTCCACGTGCGTAGCGCCCCAAACGTGTATATACGTTTTCTTTGTCATTCATTCAACATTGCCACATTAAGCCTGAGTCACCTAGACATGAGAGAATGGGTGTGCGCACTCACTGTGTGCCATATTAAAATAATTGGGGATGCCTGGGTACCATATGCTCTTTTTTCCTTTTAAAAGAAAAGATTGTTTTTTTCCTCAAAAAAGTTGGGGTGCTACGCGAGTGAAGTATATATACGTTTGGACCGTTTAAGGGTTAATCATTTCTAACAACTACCTTTAGATGCCATCATAAACGAAGGGAGAAGTAATGAATAATTCATGCTGAAAATTGTAAACAAAAGCGGAGTGTGGGAGTGGCTGGGCCAAACGCAGATTCATACACATTTTCTCTGATGGCTGAGCAGAGAAAATGTAATGTAATGTCCCTCCATCCGGCTGCCACACAGCTCCACAAGTATTATTATCAGAGCACATATAAAATATGCAATAAATGCCAGACAATACACAAATAACCCGCACATAAAAGAGAGAAGCTTACGACGACGTTTCGGTCCGACTTGGACCATTGACAAAGTCACTTTGTGTGACTTTGTCAATGGTCCAAGTCGGACCGAAACGTCATCGTAAGCTTCTCTCTTTTATGTGCGGATTATTTGTGTATCATTCCAGTCACGGTATTGTGCCTTTTTTGTTATTAATGCCAGACAAGTTTACATTAACTTATATTAAGTTAGCAATAGAAATACACATTAAAAATGCAAAAGGAGAGCAGATGACAGAGTGGGAGAGGCACTGACAAAAAATTTTAATGAAAATAAGAAAAAATTTGGGAGTGTGTTAAGAAAGCCTAGAGAACGAATGGATTTGTTAGTTAAAAACAGAGTAGGGGAGTTAGTAGATGGAGAGATGGAGGTTTTGGGTAGATGGCGAGAATATTTTGAGGAACTTTTAAATGTCGACGAAGAAAGGAAAGTGGTAATTTCATGCACTGGCCAGGGAGGTATACCATCTTTTAGGAGTGAAGAAGAACAGGATGTGAGTGTGGGGGAGGTGCGTGAGGCATTACATAGAATGAAAGGGGGTAAAGCAGCTGGAACTGACGGGATCATGACAGAAATGTTAAAAGCAGAGGGGATATAGTGTTGGAGTGGTTGGTATTTTTGTTTAATAAATGTATGAAAGAGGGGAAGGTACCTAGGGATTGGCAGAGAGCATGTATAGTCCCTTTATATAAAGGGAAGGGGACAAAAGAGATTGTAAAAATTACAGAGGAATAAGTTTACTGAGTATACTAGGAAAAGTGTACGGTAGGGTTATAATTGAAAGAATTAGAGGTAAGACAGAATGTAAGATTGCGGATGAGCAAGGAGGTTTCAGAGTGGGTAGGGGATGTGTAGATCAAGTGTTTACATTGAAGCATATATGTGAACACTATTTAGATAAAGGTAGGGAAGTTTTTATTGCATTTATGGATTTAGAAAAGGCATATGACAGAGTGGATAGGGGAGCAATGTGGCAGATGTTGCAAGTGTATGGAATAGGTGGTAAGTTACTAAATGCTGTAAAGAGTTTTTATGAGGATAGTGAGGCTCAGGTTAGGGTGTGTAGAAGAGAGGGAGACTATTTCCAGTAAAAGTAGGTCTTAGAAAGCGATGTGTAATGTCACCATAGTTGTTTAATATATTTATAGATGGGGTTGTAAAAGAAGTAAATGCTAGGGTGTTCGGGAGAGGGGTGGGATTAAATTATGGGGAATCAAATTCAAAATGGGAATTGACAAAGTTCCTTTTTGCTGATGATACTGTGGTCATGGGAGATTCTAAAGAAAAATTGCAAAGGTTAGTGGATGAGTTTGGGAATGTGTGTAAAGGTAGAAAGTTGAAAGTAAACATAGAAAAGAGTAAGGTGATGAGGGTATCAAATGATTTAGATAAAGAGAAATTGGATATCAAATTGGGGAGGAGGAGTACGGAAGAAGTGAATGTTTTCAGATACTTGAGAGTTGACGTGTCGGCAGATGGATTCATGAAGGATGAGGTTAATCATAGAATTGATGAGGGAAAAAAGGTGAGTGGTGTGTTGAGGTATATGTGGAGACAAGAAACATTATCCATGGAGGCAAAGAAGGGAATGTATGAAAGTATAGTAGTACCAACACTCTTATATGGGTGTGAAGCTTGGGTTGTGAATGCAGCAGCGAGGAGGCGGTTGGAGGCAGTGGAGATGTCCTGTCTAAGGGCAATGTGTGGTGTAAATATTATGCAGAAAATTCGGAGTGTGGAAATTAGGAGAAGGTGTGGAGTTAATAAAAGTATTAGTCAGAGGGCAGAAGAGGGGTTGTTGAGGTGGTTTGGTCATTTAGAGAGACTGGATCAAAGTAGAATGATATGGAGAGCGTATAAATCTGTAGGGGAAGGAAGGCGGGGTAGAGGTCGTCCTCGAAAAGGTTGGAGGGAGGGGGTAAAGGTGGTTTTGTGGGCAAGGGGCTTAGACTTCCAGCAAGCGTGCATGAGCATGTTAGATAGAAGTGAATGGAGACGAATGGTATTTGGGACCTGACAATCTGTTGAAGTGTGAGCAGGGTAATATTTAGTGAAGGGATTCAGGGAAACCGGTTATTTTTATATAGCTGGACTTGAGTCCTGGAAATGGGAAGTACAATGCGTGAACTCTAAAGGAGGGGTTCGGGATATTAGCAGTTTGGAGGGATATGATGTGTATCTTTATAGGTATATGCTTCTAAGCTGTTGTATTCTGAGCACCTCTGCAAAAACAGTGATTATACGTGAGTGAGGTGAAAGTGTTGAATGATGATGAAAGTATTTTCTTTTTGGGGATTTTCTTTCTTTTTTGGGTCGCCCTGCCTCGGTGGGAGATGGCCGACTTGTAAAAAAAAAAAACCACTTGGAATCGACCGAAAGGGCTTGTAAACACTGGCACACTGACTGTCCATGGAGTCATGGAGTGGTTGGGCTCGTGTAGGCTGCGCTCCGGCCCCATGGACAAGTTCAGGACGAATGTCGTTTGATGAGTTTTTCACTGTTGGTAGAGCCATTTCTTTTATGCCAAAGAGCGTCGTTAGACAAATTTGCCCTTACTTGATGCCGCCGTTAGTTGAGGGTCCACTGTACTTTAAAATTAAACATCATAACATTTTAATATTACTGAATTCAGTTTCCTAGTAGAAATAAATTATAACCCATAGCCTCTAAAAATATATTAATCATTTGACTGTTTTGGCTGTATATATACGTCTTACGAGCCAGTGTTTCGGACACATATACAGTATACTCAATAATTCTAGCGGCTTCAAACCAAGCAGAAGAAAGATGGTAGGCTCACATGTGAGAGAATGAGTGTTTGTGGTCAGTGTGCACTGTATAAAAAAAATCCTGCAGCACGCAGTGCATGAGAGAAAAAAAACTCCGACCGTGTTTCTTGATTAAAATGCCGACTTTGAGGTGTATTTTCCTATAGTATTTATGGTTGTATTCTCATTTTCTTGGTCTCATTTGATAGAATGGAAAACACATTACAGAAATAGACATGATTTTGATAAGTTTCATGATAAAAACGACCTTGAAATTGAGCTCAAAATAGTGGAAATGTTCGATTTTTACCAATGTTCCAGAGTAAGCAAATCACATCACACATCCAATACACATCAACTGGGGAGTCTAATATTCTTTCACTAGTGCACTGATATTATTTACACCATTTTTACAATAATGCAGTAGTCTGCATAACAGTAAATCTTCTATTTTTGTGTGTGTGAATAAAAAATCAAATCAGAAAGCAAGAGTAATAAAAGAGGGGCCTGGAGACATAACTAATAAAGAGA